GAATTCATAACTCTAGACCCATGTTAATCTTACCTTTATCATATTTTAATCACATCAAGATAAAGCAAAAGAATTGGAAACAAACTAATCAGAACCTCGACTGAGGATGCCAACAAATTTAGGTTGAGAACAGAGAATTCTCAAGTGCAATTATCAGTCAGCAAAGAAGAAAATTAGTACATGAAACCAGACAGACTTGTCTCAAATTGTAAAAGAACAATTTTAGAATTCACTCCATATTAAACATGGTCAGGCAAGTGAGATGTTCACGACACTATAAGTGATAAAATGGCAACTTTACATCACTATCAACAGTTATTAAGTCAATTTGAAGTTCTATTTGTGAATCTAATAAACCAACACTTTCATCTAAAGCAAACAGAGATTTGAATAGCTTATAAACCGATCAAACCCAAGCTTTCATCATATTTTTGAATTGAACATCAAAGAATGAGTCAGGAAGACAACAAAAGAAATCAGGAGGAACCTGAAATTGAAGACTAAACTTGCCCCAGAACTGAAATCGACCAAAAACAAACAGCAGCTGAAAATCAACCCTCGAGCAGCAACAGACTCGAACTTCTCAAATAACTTCCATTTTTACCCAAAAATCTTGAATCGAAATGAAGAAACTATATTATTTCGAAATGCGAAATAAAACTGACATCAAGTGAAATTATGGAACCTTCATAATATATTTTTTGTTCTGATATGAAAAAAGAAAAAGAACAACGGAAAGGAAGAAGAAGACTTTGAACACTAGTTTTAATTTTTTTCCGAAATCTCTCTCAATCCTCTCCGAAATTTTCTCTAAAGAAAACTTTTTTTTCCAGTCCCTTTACCAAAAAATCCCTCCCTCTTCAAAATCGGATCTGATCCTTATAAAAACAAACCCCTGATGAATGTGGGGCTTGGATTGAACGAAATCAATCCAGTGCTTCACACTCATCCAACGATTCGTCTCTAGGACCTTCCAATCGCGTGCCTTATCTCAAAATCGAGCGAGTGAAAGGAAGGAGAATCTTCGGTGTCAGAAACCGTTAGAAATGGTGATGGGGAGAGAAGGTGGAACGCGTGTGTTAAGGATTTGGGATTCACTCGCCCGAATTTGGACTAGATTTGAGGCTTGGTTCGAGTGTCTTCTTGGAGAAGAAGAACACTGTGCGCTGATGGGGTGTTAGAGATTAGAGTTCTGGATCTCGTTTTTTGTGTGTTATACTTGGAGTGGGTCGGGTTTGGTTGGGGCGGGTCGTGTATGGGTTTAAGTAGAAAGGAGAGGTATTGGGCTAAGGTGATTTGGAGTGAAAGAATTGGGCTTCAGAATTTCAACTTGGCCCAATTTCAAATTTTTAAGAATAGACCCCTTTTTTATTAATAGAAATTCTTAAATTAAATTCCTAAATTAATCCAAATTGTAAAGTTAAGCTAATTGTCTAACTATAAAAATTATAAAGGTTACTCAATCCTAAATTAAAAGAGAGAAATCAATAATCTAAACATTAAAAGGAAGAAAAATGTAAAATGAACTATTTTTGTGATTTTCATTTTTTATAAAAAAAAAAAGTAATTACTAATTAATTCAAAAAAAATGTAAAAATCAAATCTAAATTCAATGCATGGTATTTTTGGTATATTTTTTTATTTGTAATGAAAATTAAATATGCACAAGAATGCACATAATTAGTAAAATTCTACAAAAATCCTATAAAATTGCAAAAATAAATAAATTATTTTTCTTGTATTTTATGGGAATAATTCATATAGGGAAAAAATCACGTGCTCACACGCTTCAGCTAGGTAAGATGACTGGCTGAACTTTTGGTAAGCACGAATTTCAACTTGTTGATATTCCACATTAGTAGGACATCTCTGCAGCTGAACTTGGATATGTTTCAGTATGTTCATATCCTCATTTGCTTCAGTCACTATGTTATGAAAAGCCTGTGTGTTTAGAGTTTTCAATCCCCTCTTTAACATCTTCAATCTTTTAACCACTGTAAACATTTTGCATCCTTCCACATTGTAGTTCCAACCCTCTTTGACGTATACTCATGAATTGTGGATGTTGTGTCCACACATTACAAAATTGAAAGGATCTCCTACTCCTCTGTCTTTCCTCTGTAAAAGTCACCTTTGCAAGACAATGATCACTAATTTCTTCTGTCAAAAATCTTGCATTGCATTCTGGTATGGTATCAAACCACTGCTCATTAATAAAGATCCAATCAATTTTTGAGAATATTCTATGTTTTTCATGTTTATCACTCCAAGTATATATATTTCCTTGTGTAGGTAGTTCCATCAATCCACACTCCACTACACAATTATAGAAATCCATCACTTCAGCCCATGTCACTTCATTTCCTCCTATTCTATCCTCTGCATTCAGAACTGAATTAAAATCGCTTATTATCATCTATGGTTTACTACATCCTCTACAGTGAGTGACTAAATCTTCCCACAATCACTTCCTCTCCTCTTTTGTATTAAAAGCATACACATAGGTTACCTCAAATGATAGTTGAAGAGGAACATACAGGACTTCACAAGTTACTAGTTGAGCAGTCCTTTGCCTAGGTATTATCTGGTAGTAATCTGGCCTCCAGGTGATCCAGATTCTCCCATTGTAATGACAGTCAAGATTTGTTACAAACTTCCATCCAACAAACATCTTCTCTATTACCTGCTCCATCCTTTCTTTTTTAATTTTTATTTCCAGTAGGCCTATTAAACCTACTCTTTACTCATTGCAAAGGAGCTTAATATCCTTTTGCTTATTAGGAGTATTATGCCCCCTAGTGTTCCAACTTAGTAGACTAACCATCCCCATTGCGAGGGATAATTAGGCCACCCATACTGCTTCCTTCTCCCCCCTCCTTGGACAGAGTGAGGCCCTCCTGTTTATTCAGAATCTGGAACGAATTGGATTTCTCCACTTGTTCCTTCTGTCTTACCATTGTCTTTCCATATTTATTAGGTGTTTGTCAACCTTGTTCTATATTTCTGTCCTTTATTACCCCTGTTCCTTAGCTATATATTGCTGTGTTTTCCCTAGAGCTCCTTTTCCTGTAGTAATCCTTATGGCATTTGGATTTGTTTTCTGAGCTTCATGGATTTTCTCACTTTGCATTTGACCTTGCTTCTCCACCTGAATGTCTGTTGTCTGTTCATTGGTATTCTGATAATTCTTTGGAGCTTTCTTCTTAAGCATGCATACTACTTCTTCATGCCCATACTTTAAGCAATGGGTACAAAAAGTTGGCTTCCAGTCATAGTTAACTCTTTGCTCTATTAGCTTACCCTTCTCATTCCTAAACATCACCACATCAGGTAGTTTAGCATCCATTTCAACCTCCACTAACAGTCTAGCAAAGTTCAACCCAATCCTCTTTTCTGTGTTTTGGTCAACCATTACAGGTTTACCAATTAGACTCTCTATCTTACTTAACCCTTTTAGACTCCAATATTTAAAGTCTAATCCTGGCAATTTGATCCAAACTGGTACTGTTAATAGCTCATCACGAGTGAACTCTAATTCAGGTGTCGAGGCTTTGACAATGAGAGGTTTGTTATCAAAGTGATAGATGCCGCCCTCAATTACCTCTTGTTTTCCTATTGCAGTGTCAAATCGAACAACGATTACCCCATTTTTTAACATTGCAATCCTATCAATGCCATGTTTACCCCACAACCTCTGTATGTAGCCTTGAATTACAGCAAACGGTGGATGAGCCCATGCACATAACAGATCACAACATTTTTCCAATACTCAACTCTGTACTAATATCCTCTAACTCAATTTCAACAAAATTAGACCCACCTGTTGATTTTGGTTGGACAAACTCCAATTTGTACCCAGCATTTGATATTTTTGTGATATCAAAATTGTCTCACACTGAACTCTTCTTCCCCTGCTCTTTGTTCATCTCTTCGACCTCATCGGCCCATGATTTCCTTCCATCATTCACATGCACCGGTGGATTACTACTTGTTGACGCTTGCTGGACTTCATCCCATACTTGAATTGCTTCAATTTGCTTAAGTTTCTCATTTTCCGAAGTTTTTGGTACTGTTCCATTGACATTAGGGCTCAATTGCTTGTTTCCAGAATTTTCAGTTGTTACTGTCCTTCCTTTAGTCCCTCGTTGAGCGTTACTCTGAGAATCCGCTGCTTCCTTCGCCATTAGTGCTTTCTGAGATGGGATACGAGCTCTCTGACCCATGGTAGGCGCAGGTTAAGCTAATATAAAACCTTGTTACTAATCATGCGTTATTGATAACGTGTAGTTAGGAAGTTTATTTTGGGAAAAATATTTTATGATTTAAAAGATATTATTAAGGATAAACTAGTAAAAACCTTAGTCAAACTAAAAGTGTTTATAAGCTAGAAAACCATAAGTTGGGGATGACCAACTTATGACTGATTTTAGCTTATAAGCACTTGGCTTATAAGCATTTTGGATATTTACCAAATGCGTAGATAAGCCAAAAGATGCATACAAGCCAGTTTGACCGGTTTATAAGCTTAAAGAGTTGTTTGATTTTTCTTTAAGTAGCTAATTTGAAATTTATTTGATATAAAATATTTTTATTAAGGTAAGAATCAATAAAATGCTTAAGAACTACAGTGATGCAACTAAATCACACATAAGATGCAAAAACACAATTCAACTCTCTTTCAAGAGCCACTGTAATTCAAAAATATGCAAACTAAAGCACATTGGCACAAGAAAAATATAACCGAAAAGCTGCCAATGCCATGAATAATATATTTCTACCACACATTTCAAACTTAGCTCAGACACTTCAATCTTCATTTAAAAATGACATCAAACTGCAGAAAATACCAACAATAGCAAAAATAACACATGCTAGGAAAGAAATTACGTGGGTTATTTATGAGGCATAGCTTGGACTATTAAACTTGATACACATTGCCAACTTTTGCAACATGGTAAAAAAAAGAAAGAAAGCTGAGAACAAGAACTTGGAAACTGACATGTGTTTTGTTTTATAATTTACAGACAACAGCAAAGTAGAGAAATGGAAATTCTGAAAACATTTACACCCAAGATATTCAATTGTTAAACAGCATATAGACGTAACACCAGCTCTATTTTGGTACGGCAAACAGGGCAACCCCAGCTTTTAGCTTTAATCTCATTCAAACAAGACATGCACCCAGCCATATGGCCACATGGTACACAAGCCCCTTCAATTGCAGCTTCAAAGCATATAATACATGATGAAGCAGTATTAGTACTCCCTCCGTCGTGTCTTTTCGATAACTTCTCTGTTGTTGAGGAAGATGAATCCACAAAACTAGATTCGTCTAAATCAGATGGCACGGGTGCATTATCATCTATGACCAAATTGTCAATTGGTGGTGCTGAAGGTACAGTTTCAGGGATAACAGGGCGACGGATATTGAGAGTTAGTCTTGAATGCCTTGCCTGGAAACAATTGGTTGTGAATAAACAATTTTTGTGCATAAATCAAACAAATGTTTCAATCAGAAAGTTTAACAATGCAATATTACCTGCTTATTATCTGGCCATAAGGAAGCCATTCTACTAACAGGCGTCTGTCTAGACGATGATGCCTGTGAAACATCTTGCGCTTTTCTCAAATTGCTTAGTCGATTCTGTTCCTTCAATGCATGTTCAACTTCTGGTCTTAAGGACTCCAGCTCACCAACGACATCCAGTAATTTCTGAAATCACATCCCACTTGAACATGCAACTTTCACGAATTACATATTAGAGACACTGCTTAATTACCTTTTTGTAAGGTCTCTTTTCTGTATCAGTTGAAGTAATGTAGTCTCGGTGGAAAGGTATAGTTTCTGATAAAATACTGACATCACGAACAGAAATATAAAAAAAATTACTCATATATAGGTGTTAATATGCCCTCAAGAAGTTATCAACATGGAAATATATGTTTACCCTGCATATCTGAGAAGCAGAACGTAGAGATCTATGATATTGTTCTCCTGCCGATGATTGTTTGCCTGGAGGAAAATGAAGTAGAAGTTTAATGTCAATAAAGCTGGTACGCCAACTCAGAGCCAAGCAATGGTGTGTAAACAAAGACTTATAAGAGCACCATATAATAATAAGGCAGATAATCTTGTTAACACTCGCATAGAGCATAGAACTAGAGGACTTATAGTATGTCTTTGTCTCTCCAGATGTTATACTAACAGCCCTTTCATTTGCATCGACAAAATCAAGCTACACATTAATCAAACTTTACAATTGAATTTGCTTGTTTCCTCTTCCATTTTCATCCAACAGAACATCAGATTTCCTTATGTCACCCTTGTCCTGTTAATACCTGGTGCTTAGCGCGCACAGAAATATGGTTCTACTCTAATTCTTGAGTTTCTATGTCTGCAATATAATTGATAAGATGAAAATAGGCAGAGATGTTGTAACCATGCATTTTGTTAACTCTACCACACATTCACCAACCCCCTCCTTTTCACTTTCCAAACAAAAGCTCGGATAAGAACATATATAGAAATGAAACCAAAAGGCAAGCTAAAAATTACATGATTTTCATGCCTATATAGATTGATTCTATGTCCAATATTCACATGCATAGGCCGGGTGCAAGCGAGAAGATAAAAACTAGAAATTCCACATTCAGCATAATAAGATCATCTCTATTTTCAACAGTCGGCAATCTAAAGTTCTAATCTATAGTTAGATTTAGCGTTTACTCACTTATCAAGCAATACTAGCTACCCACTAACTTAAACAATTTAATAGAAATTTAAATTTGACATTCATTCTAAAACTAAGCAACTTATTATGCTAAAAAGAGTTATGGGGAAGCAACAAAATTTCAACAACTTTATCATTTGGTTGACAAGAAAAATAGGGTAAGTGCTGAAAAGTAGTTGACTCTCTCAGACTTTGTATGCATGATAAGGCTGTGAAAAGAAGGAAGTAAGAACTTCTCCGTTGAATAGTATTTCTTTCCTTCAGATTCAGTAACACAATAGAATATGAGTATCGAAGGGGAGCTTTGGAGCAACAGTAAAGTTGTTTTTGCGTCACCTATAGGTAACCTGTTTGAGCCGTGGAAGCAGTCACCGACGCTTACGTTAGGGTAGGCTGTCTACATCACACCCCTTGGGTGCGGCCCTTCCTCGGACCTTGTATAAATGCAGGATTCTTTGTGCACGAGGCTGCCCTTTTATTAGAATAAAATATTGCATGGACTCTCCAAAACGCTGCCCGTGTTGGATCTTCCAAAAATATACTGCTTTTGGAGGATCCGACACTTACCTGACAGTATTTTCGAAGAGTTTGAGCAATATAAATAGAACATGAGTATTGAGGCGAAAGTTGTTTCTTTTTATTTTGAATTCCATTTTGCTTTCAAAGAACTACAAAAAAAATAAAATGTTTTACCTTTTTCTTTCTATTAATAATACTATTGTAATTTTTCCAAGGAACATATTTTGTAGTCTTTGTTGACATACAAACTAACAGTCTGTTTGGCCAAACTTTTCCAATCTTAGAAGTATTTTTTCCTCAAAAAAGTGCTTTTTTTCAAAGTTGAAGTGTTTGGCCAAGCTTTTGGAAGAAAAAAAATACTTTTAAGGAGAAGCAGAAGCTGTTTTGGAGAAGGACAAAAAAATAGCTTCTCTCCAAAAGTACTTTTTTGAAAAACATTTTTGAGAAAAATATATAATAGTTTTTAAAAGCTTGGCCAAACATTAATTGCCGTTCAGAAGTGATTTTCAAATTTTGCAGCTTGGCTGAATAGGCTATAAGCCTACAAACATGATAGTTAGTGAACGGAAGCATTATATGAATCTTATTGGCAAAAGATATACACAGCAAAGTACAGACAAATTTAAATTAGCAATCCCTGCTATTGAAACGGATAATTTATATAACTATACCTCAATTGCAAACAAGTATTAGCTGACACATAGCAATAGAAAGAGTTATCGAGAGAGAATGATGGGACCTCTTTGAGAAGGTTATCAGCGATCCTGTAGTAATATTGGATAGGAATTTGATTGTCAACTTCGATCTTTCTAGTACATTCTCTTATGTCGATCGGATTCCTCGCTGAACTCATTTCAACGGCGCCGGCGACGACAACAGATAAAAGTTCCTAGTTTGAAACTCCGGTAAGTCAATGAATTTGTTGAATTTTTCAAATCTCCTCCTGGAAATGGAATTAGTTGTTAAATGTTCAAGGAAACTATTTTATTAGAAACATAACTAGAAAAAAGAGAAAAACATATTCCGTTTTGACTACAAATAATTAAATATGAATTAAATAAACTTATAAATACTAACCAAATTATAAATAATTTAAGTATCCTACTATAAGAGAGTAAAGAAGTGAAAGATGAAAGACAGTCCAATGTGCAGACTCTCGGTTAACTTTACTGCCGAGAGGAAGAGTCCTTTAAATATTTCTTATGTACAAGGATTCAGTTACACAAGTCCTATAATCTCTCTAGATTTTAATTTGAAGATATACAACAAATCATAACAGTAATTCAAAATACAAAGTTGATTCAAAATAGGAGAGAATATCTGCTAGTAGTTAACTAAATCTTTTGCTGGTTCTTGGATTTGCTGGGAGAGGAATTCTCAGTCAATACCCCCCGGCAAGCGGATGGTGAGGGTCGAACAAGTAGCTTGGATTTTAGCAGGTTGAATCTAGCCGTTCCGAGAGCTTTTGTAAAAATATCTGCTATTTGATTTTGAGAACTAACAAAGCGAACAACAAGTAAATTATCATCGACTTTCTCCCGTACAAAATGATAATCAAGTTTAATGTGCTTCGACCGTTGATGAATGACAAGATTGGCAGAGATAAAGGTAGCACTTAAGTTGTCGCAGAGTAGAATTGGAGGTTGGTTAAGAGGAGCATGCAACTCATGTAAGAGTTGCTGGACCCAAATAATTTCAGTAGTAGCAAATGCAAGAGCTCGATATTCAGCTTAGGTACTAGAGCGAGCGACAACCTTTTGCTTCTTAGAGCACCAGCTTACTAAATTACCACCATAGTAAAGAGCAAAACCATGTTGAGAACGACTATCATCTGGGTCAGAAATCCATCCAGCATTAGAGAAAGCAACTAGGCCGGAGTCTGTGGATGAGTGAAAGTAAAGACCATGGTGAAGGGTGCCTTTAAGGTATCGAAGAATACGCTTAACGGCAGCCCAATGGGTGGTAAATGGGTGATGCATAAATTGACACACCCGATTGACAACATAATAAATTTTGGGGCGGGTAATAGTGGCATATTGAAGAACCCCAACAATGCGGCGATATAGGGGAGGATCAAGGAGATGATCGCCATCACGGACAAGACGAGACCCTGGTGTAGATGGAGTGGAGATCGGTATGGCATCAACCATCTTGGCACGTACAAGGACATCTCTGATGTATTTTTGTTGGGTGAGAAAAATGGTATCCTTATTTCTGATAACTTCAATGCCAAGGAAAAAATGAATACCACCAAGGTCCTTCAAAGAGAAGGCAGCATGAAGTGTTTTAGTAAATTGAGTAATGAACCGAGGATTGCTTCCCGTAACAATAAGGTCATCAACATACACTAGAATATAAGTAATATCATTGGGTGATTTTCTAACAAATAGAGAACAATCTAATAAGCATGATTTAAAACCATGAAATAGGAGAAAATTTTTGAGCTTGGTAAACCATGCTCGAGGAGCCTGTTTTAGGTAATGCTGCATTGTGGGCCGGTCCTGAACCGGACCGGATCGGGCCCGTGGTCTTAACGGGCCTCACGGGCCTGGTGGGCCGGTCCTAGCGGTCCCTTAAAGCCCGAGGCGGGCTGGTCTTCTTTATTAAGCCCACGAGCCCGGGACCGTTTAGCCCGGGACCGGCTGGCGGGCCTGGTCCGGGCCCAGTGGCTATAATTTAATTTTTTTTTGAAAAAAAAAACAGCCCAACGACCATATTTAAAAAGTAGCCGTTTGGGGCTTTTTTGACCGTTTGGTAGTTTAGAAAATGGCCATTTGGCCCCCAAACTTTATTTTAACCCCAAACTTTATATAATTAC